TCACCTAGCATTAGAACACTTTTTTTTTGTTCCAAAAATAGTACGTAAGAATTTCTATTTTCTTAAAAAATAGGATTAGTTAAATTTTTTTTTTCAAATTTTGATATATTTAGTGATCAAGATTTATGTCTTAGTATTTAAGCAGTGTAGTTTAGATATTAATTTAAGGTTTAAAGTAATTTAGTCATTTTTTTATTTTTTTAGTCATTTTTTTCAATTAATAATAGTTTGTAATTTTCTTCTTTATATACTATTTTTCATACATTTGTAATGTCATGTTCGATATTTATTTTGTATGATTTATGTTATTATGCCAAAATTTCCAAAATTTTCTTCTTATAATCATTTTTATTTTGTTAGCATTAATATCACATTTTCATATGTTATATGCATATAAATTATACACCAGAAAACAATCAGTAAGTTATTATCTGATAACGAATGAAATATTACTTGTTTGTTTTTAGTCATTGTGCTTAGTCCCCTGATTCTTTAGTTATCTTTAGGACATTTCCAATCCCACTCTAAAATAGAATTTAGTGTAAAATATGTTCCAATGGTACTCTATTTTATATTTTATAATAGAGTGAAAAAGATTTACTCTATATATAAAATAACTTATTAACTTTTTTGTTCATCACTCAATTTTTAACTTTAAAATAGAGTATCATTGATGCAACAATCAACTCTATCATAGAGTTAATCTATTTAGATGATTTGAAAGTGTTTTTTTTTCAAAAGAAAATGCTTGATTGTTTCTAGCCATGTATCAGCAGGTACTCTTCCTTGTAGCCATGACTTCAATTTTTTTTTTTGAATGAATGGTCGAGTCGTCTGATTCGAATTGTTTTGAGAATGTCATCCTCAGCCATGATACACATAGTGAAGTTTCTAGTGTTGGAAGTTGGAACATATCAGCAAGATTCAATGCTTATTTTCCAGAGAAATGCGATTTAAAAACCTTGTCAACGCTTCATATCTTCTATGTTAAAACAAAGTTGTTTTTATCTTCCATATAATCGAACCATGAATCGCTCATAGACGTACAATAAGACTACATGATAATCAGTATTTGAAAAAAAAAATTCTGGTAACTCTAGTTGACTTCTTCTACGGTGTAACTTAAAATATACTATTAATAGAGCGGAGAAACAACTTAAAAACTTCTAAAACAACATATTTCTATATATGTCCAAATCGTGTTTTTAAACGGCATAATCTATTTAATTCATACAATTGTGTGCATATGTGTTTACATATGGATCTTTTGCACTCTCAAAAGGAATCCAAATTTTCTTTATTTTCCTCCAACCTTCTTACAAGTTTTCTCACAGAACTTATGTCATGGAAATTGGTAATAACACGAATTTAGATATGGGGAACAATGGAGATATGGAGGTTGACATAGAATGGGTAAATAATTTGGCTTGGTATGGTAAAGCTGTAAGAAGTGATGGTTTTTTATGTGAGGTACATCCAGGTGAGTTGTCTTCATATGGCATTTGGGAGAAAGTGCCTTCACACAAAGTTGGTCTTCACATTTGGCAATATCGTCTTCCCAATCTCGAGCTTGTTATCTTGCTCGTGTTCGTCCTTTGGCAAGTCTTTGATATTTTGTTCAAGAAATTAGGTCTTTTGATTCCAAAGTTCGCCTCTATGATGCTTGTGAGTTCTTTTTAATATTTTTTAAAAATATATTTTACTACACAACGTACTGACATTATCTTTGTTGCACTGAAGGCAGGGGTACTCTTGAACGTTCTACTTACTATTTCGGGAGACAAGTCCACTATTCAGGAGATCTTATTCCCCGAAAATCGAATCGACATTCCCGGATGCCTTGGATCATTTGGTTTCATGATTTTCTGGTTCCTCAATGGTGTGAAAATGGATGTCAAGACAATCTTCAAGGCTGAAACACATGCAAGACTCACTGGAGTTGCAGCGGCCGCTCTGCCTATAACTGTCGGCTTAGTGCTTTACAAATATAAATCAGATGAGAATAGACAGCTCAAAGCCATAGAGTATAATACATTGTTGCTAATGGAGAGCCTCACGTCCTTCTCGGAAATCGCAAGACTCTTGCTTGACCTCGGCATGAATCACTCATCTGTTGGTCAGCTGGCTTTATCCACATCTGTAGTCTCTAATATGGTTGGAGTAATGTTCTGGTTGGGAATGGTTCCTCTTGGTTTTCAATCATTGGTTCAAGGTGTAGGTCTACTTTTAAAGATGTTCTTCTTTATCATTATTGTCTTTGCTGTTGTGAGGCCAATAATGTTTAAAGTAATCATACGGAAACGAGAAGGGAGACCTATAGAAGACAAATACATCTATGGGATTCTCGTCATGGTTTTCTTGTCGTGTATGTATTGGGACGGACTTGAGCAGTTTCCAGCACTTGGAGCTTTCATTCTTGGTCTTTCTATTCCTAATGAACATCCTATTGGTTCTGCCTTGGCCGAACGACTAGAGAGCTTCAATTTTGGTATTATATTGCCTCTCTTCTTGTCAGCTAGTATGCTAAGGAGTGATATCACAGTTTGGAAAGACATCTTAACATTCTATAGCAGCAATGACAAGAAGTTCGCAGTTGGGTCTCTCGTCTTGCTCATCTTCTCGTTGAAGCTTTCTGTCTCAATCATCGTACCTTACCTCTATAAAATGCCGTTGAAAGACTCTATTATTCTTTCCCTTATCATGTCCCATAAAGGTGTAATAGAATTAAGTTTCTACTTTTTCTCTTATGGCCTCGAGGTTAGTCTCTCATATTTGCATTTCTTGAAAACAAAAGATTCACTTTTATATTGGTTTGACACTTTGGTATTATATACAGCATTTGGACAGAGATACCTTCTCGATCCTAGTTTTGTCCATTTTCCTAAACTCATTGTTCCTACCAATGGCGATCAAATTTCTCTATGACCCATCAAAGCGATTCATGAGCTACCAAAAGAGAAGTTTGGCAAGCATGAAGATAACCGGAGCCCTAAAGACTCTAGTGTGCATACATAGACCAGACCACATATCTTCCATGATAAACCTTCTAGAAGCTTGTAATCAATCGGACAAGAGCCCTCTCACTTGCTACGTGCTTCACCTTGTCGAGTTACAAGGTCAAGAAGTCCCGACTTTGATCTCACACAAAGTCCAGAAACTTGGAGCAGGGACAGGAGCAAAATATTCGGAAAACGTCATCGTCTCTTTTGAACATTTCCACCGTTACGTACGTGGTTCTATTTTCATAGACACATTTACTTGCATTTCAAACTCGAACCATATGCAAGATGATATTTGTTGGCTAGCTCTCGATAAAGCTGTCACGTTTATCATTCTTCCTTTCCACCGGACGTGGTCTCTCGACCGAACATCCATCGTATCCGACAGTGAAATGATACGGTTTCTCAATTTCAACGTCTTGAAACAAGCTCCTTGCTCTGTCGGTATCCTTGTTGAACGTCATCTTGTTAACAAAACTCAAAAACGTCAACAAAACCTTAAGGTATTTATACTCACAATTACATTTTATCATCTTTCTATAGTAGTTCCTTATTTACTTATAACCAAGTAAGAAATAACTAAACATGGTTGAATCTCATCCATATTACTTCTATGGTGGTTCCTACGCCTGGGGACATATTGACCTGGAACCAAAGAATCAAACCAAACGGAACAGAAAAAATCCAAACCCAAAACCAAACCAAGAGGTATAAATTTTAAAATATAGTTTATATACCTAAAATATTAATTATATTTAATTTTGAAATAAAAAAAACCTAATAATATTATTTATAAACTGAATTATCCACAAACCAAACTATTCAAATGTTATTTTATTCGTAATATTTATCCACCTGTTAGTTTATCCATAAAAACTTGAATTACTGGATTTTGTTTTTTTTTTTTGAAAAACTTGAAGTTTTTGAAAATTTTATCCAAATTAACTGAAAAGCCGGAACCAAATTGGACTCAATTTTTTTTTTTGGTATTAGTCAGTTTCCAACATGGTTATCTGAACCGAATCAAACCAAAAAAAAAAAACTAAACCGAAACCAAATAATATTTTAAAAATACTTAAAGAAATCTTATATCTCTAGAACAAAAAATAAAAATAAAAAAAAACGGCAACTGAAATATATTAGGGACTAAGGTCTCACATCGGTTATTGGAAGGGATCTCTAGCAATATATAAGATAGATGGGTCACTCCACTTATAACCAATTGGTTTTAGGTTGGAAGCCCATCTACCTTAATAAAATACCCAGGCCTAGTGGTTCCTACAGATATCTTACGAACTCCTTAAGTTGAAAATGAATTAGGAATGAGAATTATTAAGTACCTGGGGCGACTTGGGGACAGGTGTGTGTGATATATGTGGGAGGAGAAGACGACATGGAAGCATTGGCCTTTGCAAAGCGAATGGCCCGTCAAGACAACGT